GGTTCACAAAATAAATTATTTTTCCTGATTATCAATTATGGTTCCTTATGAATAATAAATCTGATGTTGATCACAGGGATCAGATTTAATTAAAATTTCCTGTCAACAACATATGGTTGGGTGCTTTCACACACCTCCATAATTGTGGAATTTTTCTTTCCACAGTGAAGGCCCCCACATGTTAGAAGGCTTTGGATAAAATATTCCCTATCTTCCTCTCAAACCAGGCTTGTCTGTTTCCATATGGGCATTGATCACTGATAGCTGGTGCTTGTGTGATGATTTCTTTGTGTTGTACCTCTTTAGAATAAAGTTGGTGTTAAGACTGATTCAAAATCCTGCAACTCGGGAGGTTACAACCTGGGTTGCTATTTTGGATTTTCCCTGAATTCAGAGTTTTGAGTTCTAGGCTGCTGTCTTGTTAGTGGCATGCTTACTTACCAACAACCCTACCCCCATTTAAATAACAAGTTCAGTTGATCAAATAAAAATTTACAAAACAGAAAATTTGGGAATGATTAATTTATAACATATCAAAAAAAATATCTGAACCATTTTTATTTTGCAGTCTTTCTCCTAACATCAGAGCCCAAATGCAATTTCAGGGTCACCAATTCCACTCTGAATCTTAACCGACTGTGCTTAAAACGAGTTGCAGATTCTCTTAATATTCCTCCAGAGTTGCAACATCTTGGACACAGATCCATCCTTAGAGGTAGGATCATTGCAGGCAACTTTTCAGCTAACATTCCAGCAGCCTTCTCTGGTCTGGTGCTGTGAGGGAAGATTAGTGAAAGTGTCCTTGATGGTTGATGCAGTCTTGATAAACTCCAGAGCTTTGCACCCCCCCCCCCCTGAAAATTTAACAGCATCATTGTATCATTGGGAGCACCGTGGTCAGATTAGCCTTGTGTACACAAGGAATGTAAGAGAATGACTGTAATGTTCAAGGTTGTGCGTGCTTCAATGTCTGCAAATTTCTGATAATCAAACATTGCATATCAAAATGTTTCAGTCATGCCGCCTTGACATCTTTGTAATTAATTATAATAATAATAATATTATTAATATTGATTACGAAAAGAAAAATACCAATTGTTTATGAGAATCTTATGATTACCCAGCAGATCTGCCCAGTGTTTTGATTCCAATTATAATATTAAAAGACACCACATTATATATATCAATGCAAATTAAAAAAAAGATACCTCTATTATTAACACTTCTTTAGGAGAACCACATTTTGTTGTTAAAAAATAAATTGTTTTTACAAAAAAAAAAAAACCAATTCGCATAAAAAAAATTTGTGCAACACAAGTGCCAATAATATTGTCACATATTTGTTTTTGTTTTTAAAAATAAAAAAAAAATGTCATCAATTTCAACTAATAAGAAAGGAAAAAAAAGTAAAACAATTGATGAGACATTTGAGAAAGAGAGTAAGTGTTTATCAAAAGAATGGTGGTTATTGCCACTTGTTGTCACTCTAATTTTTTAATTAATTTTTTATTTTTGTAAATTAAAAAATTTAATAGAAAAGAAGAACTGATGAGAATGGGTAAGTGTTGTTTATTGTAAGAATGGTAATGGTGGTTATCACCACCACTTGTCACTCTAGTTATTATTAAAAAGATCATCCAATGACCTAGGTGACAATGTAGATTCATATATTGTTGATTTACAATTTGATGGTCTATATAGATCTTTTGAATTTCTCAAATCAAAGTTAGCAACTGATAAATGCACACTTCCTCTATTGGTGCCTACAATTTCACATTTTATGGAGTTAAAAGTATACAGAGAATTTTTTTATTTTTAATATTTGCTTTTTACAATAAAAATTTTGCTTATGATTCCATCACACTGTTTTTGCAGGAAGGGATCTCAAAATTAGCAGATGAATATGAAAGTTTAACAACATTCACCTCAATACCAACTTCATATGTAAAAAAGCATCCAGAATCACCACAAATTAGATTATTATTAAAAAATTATTGATATTTTTGTTAAATGGAGATTCTTTATTTTTATAAAAAGAAATTTCCCTTAATTTGGCAGTATATATGGAATTTGAATAAAAAATATTTGATAAATTTTTTTCCTATAACCTACAAAAATCAGCAAGATTTCAAAAATAGAATAGAAATTTTTTTACTATTATGTCTTTATATATATAATAATGTTAATAAAGAAAACATTACTATTGCTAATAGAATAATATTTATTTTATCATCTTTTGAATATTACATTTTTTATTAGATTGAAAAAGCTTAATTAAATTGATCAGAAAAAAAAACAAATAAAGCAAAATCCGAACACTAAGAATTCCATTAATAAAATGAGGCAATTATATACAATTTTAAAAAATTAACCTAAAATGATGATAATGATAATATTTATAAAGCCCAAGCATTGTTTTAATTAGCCAATTATCCAATTTGTCATTCATATTTCAGCATTCCTGCTTTATCGAATAATGTTTTTGCTAGTGGTTTGTATTTATTTGTTATTTTTGTTAAGAACTTTTTTTTTAATTATTATTAATATAAAATTGTCATAAATTACAAAATAGGACATGTGTATGTAGCTTTATCCAGAGCAATGTCTTTGGGGTCTTTACAAGTGTTAAATTTTAGTAAAGATAAGGTTGTAGTTGACCCCAAGGCAATTATGTTTTATCAATCCTTATCACAGGGTTAGTAGAAAAATCTAACATAATATACAGGTCATCAGATTAAAAAACAATTGTTAATTTTTTATTTTAAACTAGCATCATCACCTTCATCATCATCTTTGTCTCCTTCATTACCATCAAGTCACAATAACACAAATAAAGAACATGATAAAGAAAATCTATCTAAAAGGTTAAAATTAGCTAAAGAAAATTTGAGGCAGATGCCGAAAAGGCTGAAATTGAGGCCAGAAGAGCAAAAGTCTTGGCAGAATTAGATATTAGGAAGGCTGTGGCAGAAGTAGATAAAGCTGAAACAGATCTAGGAAAGTCAAATGCTGCAGAATTTAATAATTTTTAGATGTAAATTTTTTTATTTTTTAGCTGTTTCTTTTATACTATTAATATCATTACATTGATACAGTTGTGATGTTAAACAATATTGATCCCTGAAATCCTTGGTAACACCAATGTTCACTTTGTCTGGTTTTGTTGCAGCATGCCCCATATAAGGAATGAGAATTCACTGTAATCAAAGAATAACTTTGTAACAAATTAACTTAATAATAAGTTAATAATTAGT